ACTTAAACACTATATTTTGACGTTAATGCGAGCTACTAGTGCGATGGTACTCGCGGTAAATGCATATAGGTGTGCATGAAACACTATAAAACGTTTCTTTGCCATCGGGACAATTACAAAAAGGTTATTGATTAGCAGCGAGACGCCGAGTAATCGATGTCTGTTTTTTATTATTTTCTAAAGTAACCTGTGAACGCTGTATTGATGCCATAAGAAATTAACATATCATGCACGTGGTAGCAGCCGATGACGAGTTCAAGGGTCAAATACCTGTAAGGGACGGACGCAAATCATTCAACATCGCCATGGAGATATAGATTGTGATTTACTTTCGCCAAAAAAAAAAAATGATTCGACGCCGATTGATAAACCGATCTCTAAGAAAGAGAGCATCCATGCGAGCTCGTTATGATCACAGTCAGATGGCGTCTTCAAGTACGCCGTGTTGCATTCAGCAGACAAACAGACAAGTGAATTAACCAGACAAGTCTGCGACCATACTGACAGGTATTGGTGATCAAAGTAATGTTTGCTACCCAATCAGTTATCCATCAAGCGGAAAAGAATCAATATTTTGTTCGCTTCCGAGGCTACTCAATTATTTAGAATGTGGCAAGGCACCATGGGTCAAGTACTTTACATAACGGTCCATTAATCAGCTGCATGTCCGTCAGTAAAACGGAACACACAATAATTATTCAAGAAGTTCTTTTATGACCGGCACATTATGCTTTTAAATTTATAAAGATTCCCAAGAGGCAGAATAACAAAACATGGAGGCAATTTCATATCTTTTCTTATCGACTACAATAGGGTTCTCTTTAAAAAGACTCGTTTTATGTATTGAGGTTATTGTTGCGGGGCTTTTTATTCCATACAGAAAGAAATACCAAATGCTTTACAAAAGTAGGATTTTTCACGTTGTATTTTATGGTGTTAAATTCTGTTGAGAATGTCAGGTGGACTATCTTGTGCGTTGGGGGGTCAACTGTTTTCATTAGTAACTTCCAAAACACACACACAAACAAACAAACAAACGAATGAATGAATAAACAAACAAACAGACGAATGAATGAATAAATAAATAAATAAATAAATAAATAAATAAATAAATAAATTAATAATTAATTAATTAATTAATTAATTAATTAATCAATCAATCAATCAATCAATCAATCAATCAATCAGAGTGCCCACCTATAAAGTCTGTGCGATCCAATCAGCCGTATTCTGAGAGTCCTGGTAACTCCAGATAATCGAACCCTGCGGCCATTCACCGCGTCAAGTCGTGCATGTTGACATGTATTCACTCAGCATATTGATACGAGCATTGGCCACACTCCACGATCATGTTTACACCAAGTGCAAACCGCCGTGTCTTCGCGTAGATCGCATGAATGGTGCAAAAAAGAAGTCCCTAAGTTTTACCTAATATCAGGTGGCTACCAACAGATATCACTTCAAACGTTTGAATAGAGAAATTGCTATAAAACTTCGCTCATGTATGTTAAGATTCTAATACCCCATTGTGTAGGGACATTTATGTAAATATTGCGCTCTGATACGTGCGGAGTCCGGTTTACAGTCCGCGACTTTTTAATGGTGACAACAACATAGCATTGATTTCTGGCAGATTTCGTTCCATGCCGAGAGTATGCTTGTATGTTACATGTTGGCAATGGCATTGCTCAACGTGAAGGTAACCATGACAATGCCATGACAACAATTGTCACGAGACAATGGCATGTAAGGTATAATGTGTACAAGTCAACCAAGGGCTCCGTGTCAACATATCGCTGATTGAGCTATTTGATATAGACTGAGGTGATCAGCCATCTCGCTACTGACACCACATACCAACAGTCTCGCGACACCGTTTATGTCCCCCGGGCACGTGTACGTTGATCAATATCATAGAAACTGTATTTCAGGCTCGTCCCAGGAATTAAATTGTAAACATTGTGATGGAGAACATTTCTATTTTTGTGCACACATCGACCATGCTCGAATGATTCCCACTGAAGAAGTCATGGAAGAGGGTTAGTTAATTTCGAGCCACGTTATTCGAAGGGGTTCTGACCGCTTTCAAGTTGCAGTCGATTTTAACATTGCACGTAAGTTAAAATTAAATACAGCGAGGATAAATTACAATCCTGTGTTCATACCACGGTGATTGTTGATTTTAACATCACATTAAAAGCTCAACAATGTTGTACAGCACAACAATCCGTAAATTATACGTTTAAAGAGAGGGAGAATTTATGTAAATGTTACTCGTAAGCGACAGCAACCATTTTAGTGACGATGTTTTACAGAAAAAAACGCAAGCCCACATTGTCAAACACAACAATCTTATGATATAGCCATGCTTATCGTGACATCTATGACACTACTATTATTGTTTGGTTAAAGCACGAGGGTCGCCACCTGCGCACGCGCGGGAATTGAGTCCCAAGCGACGATAACAACACACGCTAAAAACGCAAATGCCCATGGGTAGACGCTTGTTTGTAAACAGTGACACGCTATGGCCATCTGACGCATGCGCAGGTGACGACTAATTATTAAACAACGTGTGGTACATACATGGTTGGGAATATGTACATTCGTAAACTTGGGTCATCCACCCACTATCTTGTTGCTAAGAAGGTTATTGGATTTGTGAAAATATCCGCAGGGGACCTATTGTTAATTATACAATTTTAAAGCTGGGATTTTGGAGAACTAGTTTTACGTTGTATTATCATACATGGATTGTGGGTGTGCGAAATCTGATCATATTGTCGTTGAACTGTGGCCATAACTACGACGGGCAACGCGTTGGATTTTAACACGTACCACTAAAAAAATACGTATAAACTAAAACCACCAAAATAATATTTTAGTGGTCTGACATATATCATGTTGACAGTACTGGGCACGTGTATCACGTCACGTGTCACATATATCACAGAACTAGCTTGGTATATAAATCACGACATGCGTCACATGAATCGCGACACTTGTCATAGATATCATATATCACATACTATATCACACATGTCACACATATCACGACACATATACATATATATCACAGCATGTGTCACATATATCACGACACGTGTCACATATACCACGACACTTAGTATATAAATTACGACACGTGTCATATATATCAACACACTTGGTATATAAATTACGACACGTCATATATATATCACAACACGTGTCACATATATCACGACATGTGTCACATTTATCACGACACGTGTCACATATATCAACACACTTGGTATATAAATTACGACACGTCATATATATCACAACACGTGTCACATATATCACGACACGTGTCACATTTACCACGACACTTAGTATATAAATTACGACACGTGTCATATATATCACGACACTTGCCACATGTATCAGGGCACATGTTACATAAATCACGACACTTGGTATATAAATTACGACACTTGGTATATAAATTACGACACGTCATATATATCACGATACGTGTCACACATATCACGACACTTGGTATATAAATTACGACACGTCATATATATCACGACACGTGTCACATATATCACATCACTTGGTATATAAATTACGACACGTCATATATATAACGACTCATGTCGCATATATCACGACACTTGGTATATAAATTACGAGACGTCATATATATAACGACACGTGTCACATATATCACGACACTTGGTATATAAATTACGACACGTCATATATATCACGACACGTGTCACATATATCACGACACTTGGTATATAAATTACGACACGTCATATATATAACGACACGTGTCACATATATCACGACACTTGGTATATAAATTACGACACGTGTCACATATATCACGACACGTCATATATCACGACACGTGACACGTATATCACGACACTTGGTATATAAATTACGACACGTCACATATATCACGACACGTCATATATCACGACACGTGTCACATATATCACGACACTTGGTATATAAATTACGACACATGTCACATATATCACGACACGTCATATATCACGACACGTGTCACATATATCACGACACTTGGTATATAAATTACGACACGTGTCACATATATCACGACACGTGACACGTATATCACGACACTTGGTATATAAATTACGACACGTCACATATATCACGACACGTGTCACATATATCACGACACTTGGTTTATAAATTACAACACGTGTCACGTATACCACAACGCACATGCCGCATATATCACGACATTTGCGACATATATCACGACACTTGTCACAAATATCACGGTATTTGCCACATATAACACGACTCTGCACATGTGGCAACACTTGTCACAAATATCACGACATTTGTCACATACTAGTATATCACCCTACTTTTCAGATATATCACAGGTATAGCAACCCTTCCCACATACTAGTATACAACATTGTTGATTTTATCTACTACAAAACGGTAACGAGTTGACGACAATCATTCGATGAAATCCGTTTGTAACACATAGAGGTAGTTGGCTGACATTAAAGCAGATACTCATATTTGTTTTAAAAAGTTTGATTTTACGCGATTGTTGACAGAACGCAGATAAATATATACGGTCACCTGCATTTAACACAAAACACGGGAAAACTTGATTTATTATAGATATTTATTATAAATATGCTTTAAATTTCTAGGAAACTTATTTTTACCTTTTTAGAGATTTCTTATTTTGTACTAGATAAAATAACACGGGGTTGGTGAGTTGTGTCCAAATCAATACTTGTATGGTACGTTTGAAACCCGATATTGTTATTTTCGCCCCCTTTATTAGGTCACGGCCCAATGCTCAGGAACGACCTTATTACACACTAGCGTCTGTGGCCAAACCCACACATGGAACTACTTCTCCAGCATCGCGCATGGTTACATGCTGTAACTATGGAGTGAAGCGTTTATTATTTTAAGAGTTTGTCACTCTTTCTAATTACGTTGTTTCTCTTATTTACTATTTGCAGACCCGTGAATATCAGCATTGCTTTCATATTCAGTAGAGCGGTATTTAATATCCACCATCACCATGTCTTCTATTGAAGAAATCAAATCAAGTATACAGGAGTCCCTGAATTCCAACATGGAACGAAACATCAGCAAAGCCAACTTGAAAGCTGGTGACATCCTGAACAAGGCGGATGACTTGACAAACCCACGTTACTGGTATCAGAACGAGTACCCCCGCCAACTAGTTCAGATCTTGTCACGATCGTCCACCTTTGTCGGTATGCCGCGCAACGGCGTTGACGTCGAGAGAGCGGTGTTTACTGCCGATGAGCAAACCTTGCAGCACCTTCGGAGTCTTGATCAATTAGATAAAGAACTACGGAATAAATATCAAAGCAAACTTGTCGAGAATCGGCAGCGACATGGAGATGGAGCTCAGAGGCAGGGGAGAAGGCAGCACAGAGGTCAGTTAGCCTGGCAGAGGAGACATGTAGCTGAGAATCGATACGATGCATTGATAGGTAGGAATAACAAGGCACTTGGGGGTACAATTGTAACAGTCAATGTTCTACGAGAGGAAAAGGAGGAACCTGAGGAATCCGGTGATGATTTTTTTAAGCTGACGCGAGAAACGGATTATCGTGCCGGGGAAAAAATTGGTGGAAAAAATAAAGCTCTCCCAACGCCTGAAATAGAGAGGTACCGATCGATTAAACGTCAGGATACAAACAATCAAATTAACAATGAGGATGTCTTAGATGCATACAATAGAAAACCAAGTAAGAAAGTCGATTCTTTGCCCAGTATACATAAAAGTTTTCTACCGCGAGAAAAACGCGCTTACAAACAAGTTGTGCCGACGACGCATGCGCCGACGGATGAATCGCACAGCCAATCATTTCCTCGCATTGAAATTGACACGCGGAGATCAGACGACTACGAAACCAGTGAGAAAAAAGAAACTTCGACCAAGAAGGCGGGAAATAAAACGAGCGGAGATAAAATGCCATTCCCGAGCATTGAAGATCTCATGCAGGTGCGTGAACTGGGCAAAAGCGATGCTATGAGCATGACGGACAATGAGCAGAAACAACGTCACTACATGGATGACTGGATTCATAAATTGGCGAACGAGAAATCGGGGAGTAAGCAGGGTAGAACAAGGAAAAAGAAATTCCAAGACGTGTTTCAAAAGAGTTTCGACCCGACAATTTATAAAACCGATACGAAAGTACACGATATTGAGGTCAGTAAACCAAAACACATATTGATGAAACCAAACAACGCATTGGCGCCGTTGCCAAGAAAATATCCGGAACTGGCAACCAACGAAAAACCATTTGGTGGCATGTATTTTCATACACTGAGACAAAAGTCGGTCTACCATCTCAAATTAAATGAAATGAATGTGCAACTAAAACAGTACAAGCGAAAACAACCGCGATCGCCTAGTGTATCATCCACCAGCTCACACAACAGTGATTTTCATTATAAATTCAACAAAGTAGAAAATAAACTAGATGTAATTGAGAATCAGATCGGCAAGTTGTATCACTCGAATGCGTCATTGCAGCGAATCGTCAATCGTGATGCGTCAAAAAGCAAAACGGAGTCCGTCTCCAACCGCGACGACCTTTCTATCGACGCCATTCCCGTTTCTACCCGCCCGCCAAAAATCGACTCTTCGTTTGAGAATAATGTAACAGACAGTGCAAAAGATGTGGCGGAGAAAGTTATTGCGCGCAAATCTCCTGGCATTGAAGAGGAAGAGAACGGCACCGAAGCGGGGAAAGATCATTGTCACAGTAACGAAAAAGAAGAAAGCGCACCTGAACAAGAAAAAAATGACTCTAAGTACAAATATTCAAAAACTGGCATTGTTGCTACGGAAAACCAGGACATCAACAAACTAAATGTTGTTACTCTGGAGATGGACGGAGAAGAGAATCGAGCGGCGGACATTGCGAGAAAAACGCAAACTATCTCAAGCGCTAGTAAACCGGAAACGCATGCAACGGACGAGGACTCCGGAAGCACAGGTAGCGATGTAGCGTACGAACGAATTAGCAGGGAAACCAGAAGATCTGTCGCTGGATCACCAGTGAAAGAGCCAATGAAAAAGTTCCATAAATTGGAACCGTTCAATGAAAAAGACTCATTAAAACACAAGGCATCAAAGATGGCGCAAGGAAATGAGGACAGACTGAGAGACGAAAGTTGTCAACAATCGAATGATTTTGAAGAAACCGACAAGGAAAGATTTGAAGCTAAGGACACTGATGCGAGTTCAGCCGGGGATTCGAACGAGGTTGACAAAGACAAGATAATATCTAAAAACAAAGATATTGATACGTGTTCAGTTGGAGTTACGAACGAGGCTGACAAACACAAAAATGATAAACACAATACTGTTGATGAAGATGACGAAAAACCCAATGATGAGACGACAACAGCAGAGAAGGAAAAACATGAAGGGGAGAATGAGGACGTAATCGTTGCCGAGCCGAATAAGCCAAGAAGTCCATCAATCAACATTGGAGAGGATCCCGTTAACGATAGTGCCTCTGAGAAAAGCGGGAATAGAGTGGTGGGTGCGGAGAATACAGATAATATGCCAAATTGTGAAGATAACAAGAAAGGATTAACCACCGAGATCAACGCTGACGGCGCTTCAGCTGATGATGATGATGATGATGTAATTGTCGATAAGACACGCGAAAATGGCGTGAACATATCACCGAGAAATGTTGATAGTAACGATGGTGGGGATACACCGGTAGTAGAGGGCGCTGACACCAATACAGATTCCAAGCCAGGCAATAAAGATTCGCTGACACAATTATCAAAAGCCGATGAAACGATAAATGTCGATAATGCAGGAGGAGTTAATTGATCTCCATCGCCCAATGGGTAATATTATCCCATACTAATCTCGATTGCCGCCCAATACACATTAGACAGAAAAAACCCAGAACGAAGGTTAGTATAGTGCGCCTGCTGGGGAGTCGAAAACAACAAAGGACAGAATACAATGTCAGGTGCATGTACATGTACATATGCATCATGTACTAGTAATTCATAAGTTAGGGGGTCAATCATTCATCATGGCGTGTGACTGATAGAGTTTGAGCAATGCATTTTGTTCCGCTTAGTCTTATTTGTATTTTTGTTGTTATATTTTTGAATTACCAACATTTTTTTCTCGCAACACTTTACAGACAACTTTTTCTCTCTCTCTTTCTCGGTGCCTAGCTTTTTGACAAATTTTAAGC